AAAATCCTCTTCCATCATTGTCCCAGAGACTTGGAAGTTACAAGGCTGCCCTTACTTATCCGTTAGAGCATATTTTAAAATGTTAAATTCCCCATCTATACTCAATCTTTACAAGTTTGCAAAGTTTTTTTTTTTTTTTAACTCGTTGTTGTTTGATATGAAATGATCCTTTTATAGTTAAAAGTTAAAAGATCTTTCAGGGGTATTTTAATAAATCAACTTCTGAATTGATAGACACATGTAAAAATTAGTATTTTCAAAAGAAAATTATGCATTAGGCCAATGTTTTCTGTCTAAGACAATAACAATAGGGAGGCAAATGCATTTTTTTTAACTATAGAGGAGGTTCTTATTAAAGTGAAACTTTAGGGGGAAAGTTTTTATATTTTACCCAACGTAAAAAGTTGTGTGCAAACAATCTTGATAATAAAGTATCAAGGCAATTCTACGTTGATGACATCTTTCTATAAATTTAATATACATGCAAGGGATATAATTCCAAATGTGTAGCTGAATGTTTATGCACTGATTTCTACTCCAATTGATAAAAGAGGAAATGATACAATTCAGATTCACCATGGATGCCAAAGTCACCTCATTAGAAAAGTACAAAACTTTTTTCAAAGACAAAGGAGACATGGCCGTGTCATCTACCGTAAATTGAACATTTCTTCTTTTATAATTGGAGCAGTGCTTTTTTACATACCTTTTTGCTTTCAAGTTCTGTCATTCTAAGAAAACAAACGAGTGTTTATTGGTTCCTCTAATTCATAAATTTTGTATGTATTTGTACAATTGGGAATATTTGTATTTGTACAATTCAATGGGGTATTATAGCATAGGTGGGGATTTGGAACAATATATTCAGAAAACCGATAGAATTTTTTAAGGAGCAAACCATAAATTTCACAAAATGCTCTTTTTAATGGAAGATGATGCATAACAGAAGATAATGAGATTCTTAGATGTATTTAATGTGGATTCAAATGAACAATTCCTCCTCTCTAGAGTTAATATCATTTATACCCTACCCTTGATCCGGAAAATTTATTTTGACCAACTAATAGCAATGTCCCATGCATGTAGAGAAAAAGACTTAGCCACAGACTTGATGGGGGCAACTGTCAAATTATTCTTTTCTTTTTACTAGTAAGTGAGCACGTGCTTTACACGTGATAATTTTTTATGATGATGATGATAAATAATATATTTCTAAAGTTTTCTACATTTTTTTATTTATCACACTTATTCTGGTTTAATATGATAAATATACGATATTAGAGATGTGYCCAAATGTCTTCTACATTTTTTTTTGTATTTGTATACTTTTTTGTTTTTATCATTTTTAATTTTTATTATTATTTAATTATGACATCAAAACTATACTTTTTATACTATTTGATTTGCTACCAAATAGGAAAACAACTCCATCCTGGGTTGATTTTAAATTTGTATTTTATTTCTATAATCAATAAAAAACAATTATTCTTTGGCATGCTTTTTTTAATATGGTCAATTAAAATTAAGAGTTAATGCCCTAAATATAAGACTTAATGAGAGGGAATTGGAGGAGAAATGTAATAGTTCAAATTACATTTTATGCCTTCACAATTGGAGTCCAAATTTCCTACCCACGACGATTCTACCCACGATTGCTCACATGACATTGTATGTGTTTGGAAGCGTGGGCGTTTTTTCAATAAACACAACCACATAGGCACCATTTTAGCATTTCCCCTCTCATGCTCTTTCGTACAGATAGAAAATCGCAAAATGTGACTTTGGTTTATGTGTACGCCCACCATTTGGGGAAGTTACTTTTTAAAGCTTCCCCCAATGGTTAAGCGTTTTTTCACTGTTATGCTGATGTGGTGCCTAATGGTGCCTAGTTGTCATAAACGGTTGCAATTATTTATTTTCTCGGTTTTGTAAGCAAATAAAGTACAAACGTTGAATGAAAAAATGCCCATGGTTCCAAACGCATACATTGTAGCCACACATGGGGAGCATCTCATACTCTTACATGTTATTATGCATGGAGGTAGTGTTTTATGGGTAGGAGATCCGAAGTCTCACAATTAAAGAAACCAAATTCAAAAATAGGGGCATTACAATAAAGAAAATGATATGCATGTTAATGGGAGTTAATGCGTTAATAACAAGGATTTGATTGAGAAAAGTGGTTGTTCAAATTACATTTCTGTCCTTACAATGAGAGAAGAATCAAATTAAAAAATGCTATTTTAGCCAAACAAAAAGTTCCACACCTCCATTTACACTTTTAATAATAGTAATATAAATAGGGTCTTAAGTTTTCAATTCGTAAATGTTGTTCATCTGATTTACTATCTCAATTAAAGCTTTTTTTATTAAAATACAAATATGCCCCCATGGTAACTCAAGATCAAGGGGTAAATTCTGTTCAACAAATTTTTTTTGGAGCCAATTCTGCTATTAAGTTTGGATCGATTACTTTTAAGGGTCCGTTTGATTTGTGGAAATAAGTGTTTGAAATCAACCGATTCCAACTATTTGGTTTAGCAGAATTTGAACCCCATTCCCATTCCTGGTGGAATGATAATGGGCCATTCCTTCACCCTCCCTTGTGAGTGAAAATCCATTCCAGTTGCCTTCAGTTTGTGTATGAACCAAACAGGTGGGAGGAATGGGGATTCCTTGCAATCAGGGATAAGGCAAGGACGGGGTAGGATATTTTCACTCCAAGGTAGGGGTGGAGAAAGGGTGCCCCACCCTATACTTGCCTCGTTGCCCTTCCTATCAACATCCACTCTCCCATTTAGGGGTGATCATTTTATCTTGGGCCAGCCCGAAAGTTTTAAGCTTGGGCCTAGGTTTTGTGTTCACTCCTAGCTTAGGCTTGCACTAGGCCCTCAAATTTCAGGGCCAAGCTTGGGCCCAATACTTCAGGCCCAACTTAACCAAGGTTCAGAGTATCAATATGATATGCCCCATATTGGGCGTATCATATCGTATCTTTGGGTTCCCAATACACTTACAAGTGTTTTCAGGAATCCATTTTTTATTAAATAATATATATTTTTAAAACTAAAATTTGAAAAGCAAACTAAAAAAAGGTATATGGTTTAAAATACCAATACACCTCTGCCATACATAAATTTGAATTGATACTTAGAGCCATTAGGTCAAGCTTGGGCCTACTTGCTTTTATTTATGTATATGCCAATCATATATAATTTATACACATAAATTAATAAAAAATTATTAACTTAAAATAATTTTATAAATAATAAAAATTAATGCATATTTATCTAGCAATAACTAATATACACAAAATATTAATGAAATGAACAATTAACAATTATTGTTAAAATTTAAAAATCCACTTAGGTTCCATTTAAAAATAATATCAGTTTATTGATTATAAAAATAATAATTTTTATTTTAAGAACCATCTAAAAATAATACAAATTTATTTACAAATACATAACCCAAAAACAATACTTGGGTTTGACTTTGAAACCTACTTAATAAAAAAAAATTATTAATCAAATTGAATTCCATTAAATTTAATTAAAATTAATAAAATCTAATAATATTTATCTTAAAATAATAAAACTATTAAATATTATTGAAAAATAATGAATTTATGAGAGAAAAGTACATGAGCACAATAGAAATGCTTTGGGTGGATTCAATTTAGCTTGGCCCAATTAGGAATACTATAAGATTCCTTTTGCTTCAATTTTTATCAACATTTACCAAAAAAAAAAAATCTATTAACAAAGTCCATGCATTGCATGGGTCTTGACTAATACAATAAATAGGAGAAATCCCAATGAAGCTAACCTCACAAAATTTTAATTCATCTTATACTTACAACAATGTAAAACTTTTTTACACCTCTACTGGTAACATCATACCCCCTTTATTGGCATCAATTCCCCCACTATCATGGTTCCAAACTGTACGGTGAAATAAAAATTGTGGGGTGGGGTAAATTCCCACACTTGTGACCATACCCCCCTCTTAACATGCACATAGCATAAAGATTTTCGGGGCTTCGGGGCTCTGCAAATACGAGTCACTATATGAAAAATTCAGTACCCCATAAACAATTAAAAGGGGGGAAAGTGGCAACAGAAAGGTAAAGTACATTCTATCATTTACCAACACGAGATACAACTGAGAAAGGGATGCATTTCCGTGGTGAGGAATAATCGCTCCATTGGCATATCAGCTAACGTTGTTCCTTTCGGGTTGGGAGGGGAGGGGGTTTGGAACAAGCCGCAGAAAGCATCAGACTGATTCTCACGTTTTCGCCTCGCCAGTGAACAAATTCACAAATTTGGTAGATGAGCAATGTCATATAATTAAATTGCTCAACTACCCAAAATCTGTTCCAAGTCAAAATGCTGGTACAAAGTATATGCAAATGACTAAGCCAGGATGAGGCTCAGAAATCAGAAGAATCAACATATACCCCAAAATCTTAGCTTGATCCCGTACCACTAAATATTGATTCACTCCAAATTTCTGAAATTCCTCTCATACGTGTTGTCATCAATCAAGCTTGCATTTATGGAGGCATTGTTGACCAACTATTACAGCCGTATACATAAGCACTGCGAATGCAAAAAGAAGCACTGCAAGACCAGGAAAAGACACCATTAGGAAAAAAAAAAGCATTTACCAGGCACTTGGAATAGGATGTCCATTGCTTGGTAAATTGGTAAAATCTCATGCTGACAAGCATGGAAACGCACCCTTTGTATATAGTGGCACCCTTTACAGGACTGTAATGGCCAAGATGGCAACAGGTAAATGGTTTTTTTTCCTCATTTCCTGAATAGGAAAATGCAAGAATGCCATCCTAGAAAATGTTCATATCAAATTGGCCTTTTTCATAATCACCAATAAGTGAATTCTTTCTAATGAAGCACAAAAATCGGTGAACCATCTATTTGTTGGATATCCAGTGACTTCAGTAGAATGGGACTTTTCTTATGGTGAGGGATGGGTTAATCACATTTCCTTCAATTTTATCTGTCAGAGGATGTCGGTAATATTTGTAGTTTAAATTTCTATCATGGATTTTATTGTAATTTGAAATTATATTTAGGGCCTAAATGCATTCTAATTATTCATGTGGTTTGAGCAAGACCACTGCATGAGCTTATTTAAGTCATTATGTGTTTCCACTTCTGGCTGAGGGGCATGGATTTCTCTACAGGGGATAAAAACAGCTCACAAAGAAGTTAATCATAGGAAGGTGCCAGCTAGCTTACAAGTAAAAGCATCCGGATTGTTGTAATAGATGGGATTGAATCCCCACCTTCACCAGGGTTGGGGAGGGGTGGTGTAGTCTGAGCCTCTGAGGGCGGGTTACCCCCTCATTGTGTAACCCATTAAACTGAACAGAATGGTGAAACATGTAGCTGACTCCATATAGTTGGGATAAGGCCTGAATGATGATGATGATGATGATATATTACTAAAAGACTAAATTCTTTTAACCAGTTTGGTGGGTTGTTACGATGAGAAGCGATGTAAAGTGTCATGTCATCATGTATAGAGAAAGAGGTCACTGTAAAAAGTAAAATGATGGTTTGAAGGTAGGAATGGGTATGAGAGAGAGGGGGGGAGGGGAAGTGGGCAGCTTGTAGGGTTTCTTGAACCATGTTTCATGAATATATAAATTGAGGATCAAAAGCTGTTTTGTTTCAGATACACACTATCCTTCATTGAGAGATGAAAAATAAGAATAATAAAGATATTACTCTTTTATACTTGGGGGTCTGTCATTGATCCCCATAAAGGTTGAACCAGATCCTATAAACTCCTGATCAGTCAACATTATCATTGTATTCATTACTTTCTATCCAAATCAAAGATACACATCACAATCCTCCTCTCAACTCAGAACAGACTTAGAATCCAGGGTTCCGTAGCTACATGTAAGAGGTCAGCCATCTCCCTTCTGATGTCATCTACAGACATAGGAATCAGAATTCCACAGGGTCCCCTAGCTACATGTAAGAGGTCAGCCATCTCCCATAAAGGTTGAACTGGATCCTATAAAATCCCGATCAGTTAACATTATCATTGTATCCATTACTTTCCATCCAAATCAAAGATACACAGCATATCAAAAACACCACAATCCTCCTCTGAACTAATCAGAACAGACTTAGAATCCAGGGTTCCCTAGCTACATGTAATAGGTCAGCCATCTCCCTTCTGATGTCACCTACAGACACAGGGATCAGAATTCCTTATGTGTCTGGAAGTCTGACTCAGCAAGAAAGGAAAACAACTTGCAGATACATGTATAGAAAAAATCTAAACTATATTTTTTCTAATTCTAACATTACATACTTATAAAAAGGGTCTAAAACTTTATCTTTGTTACTCAATAATGGTTTCTAGAAAAGCGACATTCATTGTACAACTCATTTATGTCAAATAAGAAAGTAGATAAAGGAAAATTTTATTTCAAGTGTCTATCAAGAATCCATTAGTGTCATAATTGGATGCTTGTCTAACAAGAACAGACTTCATCCACTTAGGAGAGTCCATCAACATTGATGGTGTACATAGCATTAACAGGTCTTCCTGGAAGCAATAGCTAGGGAAGTTGGACTATTTGCTATTTATAACAGGACAAACACGAAAAAACATTTTGCCTCTGAATACAGTGCATTGTACATTCAACAAACAACAATAAGAGAAAGAAGCTACTTATAGTGTTAGATGGCTTACCCATTAAAGCACCAGAAAATAGAATAGCTAAACGGTATCTGATGATCCATGGTAGATTGACTTCAAGGGAACAGTGCCGCTGGATTTCCCCAGATTTCTTGGCAACCATATCATCTTCACCACTTTGCAACTCCAATGATGAAATATTTATACCTGTAACAGTATTTCCGTTCACATCCCTCACTTCAGCCTTCATAGTCACTGGAGTAGCATTCCAATCTATCTCAATTGCACCAAAATTTGGCTGGCCTGAAGAAGATACAAGCTTTTTTTCCTCAATAATCTAATGACCTCTTTAGAGAGGCACCAAAGTTAAGAAAAATAAAAACCATGGGCTAGCATTAAACAATAGCAAAGAAATTAGTAAAAATATGAGGCAACTTTATAATCGATAGCAAAAAGAAAACAAAAAAAGTGAATTGACAGGTTAAGTTGCTTATTAGGCCATGTTTGGTTCAACTCTCATTCATTCTCATTCTTACCCAAGATGAAATTCTAAAATGGACAAGAATGGGTAAAAATGGGTAGAATGAGAAAATATTGCTATGAACCAAACACTTTTTTCCTAAAAAATGATTTCTTTTCAAACTAGCAAGTGTCTTATGTTGTTCATTTTCATTCTTAAAAATATGTTAGCGGTCATAAATTGCCAGCCTAGGTCCAAAATTGCTGGCATAGATGTTTATCGGTGAATGGCTGGCAGTCAATGCCCATCGGCATAAGTTTCCATGACAATCTGCTAATAATATTTATGGTGGTGATTTTGTAGACCTAAGTAGGCAATTTATGACTGCTGGCATTGAGTTTCTTTAAGGAATGAATGTGAGAAAGATGGGGTATGATTATTTTTCATGCTCAAGACTACCTCAATTTTTATGCGATAAGCTGATTTTTCATTCTAAAAAGAATGAGGCCCATGGAATGAATTTTGTAACCAAACGCTCAGTTGAGAATTACACCTACAGTAATTCAGATAATGCAAAAAAAAATAAAAGGAAGAAAAGAGAGAAAGAGAAAGAAGAAGAAAGAAACTTAAGCAATAGGTTGTGGAAAAAGAAAAGAAGGGAAGAGAGAAAAGAAGAATTTTAACCTCTCTCTCTAGTCCCCTTTCATCACTTTTATTAATAATTCTAAGTCTGAGTATAATTACTTGGATGCCCTTAATGGGGTGGGTAGCACTAAAGAAATAATTAAAGAAAATAAAAGAAGGCCCATAACTAAGAAAAATAACTTTTAAACATTACTTAAAAGAAATAAAGAACACTAGGGCCCATTCGACCCATTCTCACTACTCCCCCTCAAGTTGAGCATAGATGTCAGTCATGCCCAGCTTGCTTACTTTATGTTGAAGCTTTGCCTTTGGGACTCCCTTAGTTAGAAAATCTGCTAGCTGCTCTTCAGATGCAATGAAAGGTAGGCACACCTCTCTTGAAGCCACTCTCTCCCGTATAAAGTGTCTACCTCAAATGTGCTTAGTTCTATTCATGTTGAATTGGGTAATGAGCAATGTTAATAGCAGTTTGGTTATCACAATACAACATCAGTGGCTTGTCACATGAAACACCCATCTCATTAAGGAGAGATCTAAGCCAATAACAACTCAAAAACACCATAGGCCATAGCTCTATACTCTACCTCAACTGAAGATCTAGCAACCACTAACTGCTTTTTGCTTCTCCAAGAAACAATATTTCTAGCTACAATAGCACAATATCCTGATGTGGATCTCCTACTATCCACATTTCCTGCCTAATCAGCATCTGCATATGCTTCTACCTTCATGTGTCCATGTTTAGCAAATAATATACCCTTCCCGGGGGTTCCCTTAAGGTAGCATAACACCCTTTCTGCAACAGCCATATGTGTGTCTCTAGGAGCATGCATGAATTGGTTGATAACACTCATAGCATATGAAATGTCTAGACGAATCATACATAGATAAAGAAGTTTCCCCAATAATCTCTGAAACACTCCCTTGTCAGCTAAAAGTTCTCCATCATTACCTGAGAGTTTATGATTCACATCAATAGGAGTAGAGGCATGTTTAGCACCAAGTTTTCTAGTCTCAGTAAGAAGGTATAGCACATACTTCCATTGAGAAATAAAGATACCTTCCTTGGACCTAGCAACCTCAATGCCCAGAAAATACCACAACTCCCCTAAATCTTTAATTTCAAATTCATAACTAAGAAACTTCTTGAGAGCACTAACTTCTTCTGTACCACTGCCAATAAAATATCATCTACATAAACTATAAGGAATGTCACCAGAGTGCCTTTTCTCTTAACAAAGAGGGTATGATCTGATTGAGTCTGAGTGTAGCCGAACTGAACAAGAGCAGCCCTAAACAACCAAGCACGTGGAGATTGTTTCAGGCCATAAAGTGATTTCTTCAATCTACACACCTTACCCTACATTTCCTTGCCATATATACCAGGAGGAAGGGGCATATATACCTCTTCAGTGAGATCACCATTCAGGAATGCATTCTTAACATTCTTTGTAAGCATTGCCCATGGTTGGTGAAAATTTTCTCTTTAGCTTAATTACCATGCATCATCCACAAAACATTATGAGGTTCATCTCCACCCATCTCAAATAATATAGGCATATACTCCTGAATGTCATACACACCCTGAAAAAAACAATGCAACTAAGATAAAGAGATTGTTTCTTTGGGGTTTCTATTAAAAACACTAATAAATCTCCTGAATGTCATACACACCCTGAAAAAATGATACAACTAAGATAAAAAGATGGGTTCCTTTGGGGTTTCTCTTAAAAACATTAATAAATCTTGTTTCTACCAACATCCATACATTCCATATACCATGTTAAGCCAACTTATTCTAAAATAATGAACTTAGGAACCATTAATAGTCATGTTGTGCATTTACCACCATTCATCTACAAAAGGTATATACTCAATGCATTACATTACAACTATAAACTCTTTTAAAACCTAATACTCACTTATCCCAAGCTCAACAAGTGACAACTTTAATCTTCCAGATAAAGAGATAGTGAAGGATCATATTATGGAGAAAAATACCAGTATAACCTTGTTATTTTTCCTTCATTTTTCTTATCTTTATAATTTCCTCATTTTCATATCTTAAAAGGGTTCATTATTGAACAAAATAATTATTGTTATTTGTTATCAACTAGTAGTAGTAGTAGTAACGATGATGAAGCACAAAATTATTCCCTTCAATACAATTCTTACCATATGTGCATGATTTGTAACAGCAATCTGGACCAATAATTCTCATCGTTGTTGGTGTCAACCATGCCAAAACTCTAACTAGAAAATGCAATGATTGGGGGACTGCCTTCTCAACAGCTTGAGTAAGCCCACTTGAAGTTATTTCATAGAGTGGATATCTAGATGCACAGTCATATCTTGAAATCTCTCCAAAATGAACATCGCCACTTATGAAAAAGACCCCATCTCTCTACAAATACAGAAATCATTTGTCATACCAAATTAGCCAAATGCTTAGCATCACACAAGGATTTATAGTTCTTCACAAGGAAAAAGAATCCTTCATGCTATCTAAAAAAGTTGCTTACTGCAGGACAATGAGCACATTATCAACAGTTGCGGCTCAGACTTTTACAATATCAGATGAAAGAACAGATAGGAGTTTCCCACCTTGCTATCTGCAATCAATTTAAACAAACGATCTCTCTCTTTTGGGAAACGCCCCCATGACTCCATATAGAATAATGGGCCTGTAGTTGCAGAAAGATTTGATATGACCTAGATTTTTTTTTTCAAGAAGAAAAGAAAAAGGAGAAGAATAATTAGAAAACTATAGGGAACAGAACAGAGAAAATTAGACCAAACCATGTCATACCAAGATATTAGTAGGGCCAAACACGCAAATGATGTTGAAACATTTAACTGAAATTAGCTACATAGATTAAGTAGGAAGTAACTTAATTGAACCATTGCATTCTTCAGAAAGAATTCAATTTGTAAATTTGCAATTCTCTGTGTAGAATTGTGTGAAGTGGGATTACGGGATCTGCTAGATGTTAACTTTAAAACCTATCCAACAAGCAAAGACTAGGAACATATAAATAATGATTTGCATTTATCTAACAGATTTTCTCCATATCTGACACTAATACGAGGTATCCCTCAATAGGAAAACTAAACCATAGACACATGAAGTGAGCTTATTGCACATTTGAAGAGTTAGTTCAGTCTCAGGTTCTCCAGAAAATACTGCTACTTGACAATGATCAAATCAGCTAAGTTGGAGTAAAGAGCATTCAGTCTCTCATTATAGGAAGAGATGAATTGGAGGGTCAATGCAGAAAGACAGCATAAGTAGCTGCTATAAAGCACATCTTTATGCCAACAATTTCAAACCCTCATTCTGTTGACTGTATGCTACATAAATATTTAGACATTCAGTTCAGTAGCCTTAGAATAATCGATCAACTATAAGGAAATCTTAAAGTTGCTTGTCGGAGATGACAAGTGTGAGGATGCAGGTTCAAATCTGAAAGCAGCCACTTTGTGCTAAAATTCCAGAGTCTAGATCCATATCCAGCCCACCCCTCTAAAGAACCTAAATAGTCAGGACAAGCATTGGTTCATGTCATTCTTAAACCTTAGCTATAGCAAGTTAGAACATATCATCCTGTATCGTCTGTAGAGATGTAGAGCAATAATTAGTGTTGTTATATTGCTGTTATTTATTTATTGTGGTCCCCACTGCTGCCGTTAGTTAGTTCCTTCTTTATAGTTGTTGTTAGGCTGCTGTTAGCAATGTTAGTTTTGTTAGTTATTTGCTTATGTAAGCAGTAGAAGCATTAATGTAATTGCAATATTATATTTTGGTGTTATTATAAATAGCTGAGTGGGGCGGCAACTAAAGCCAACTCTCTTTCTCTCAGCTTTCTTTCTTCTTTCTTTCTTCTTTCTTTCTTCGTCTTCTCTTCTCTGGTATTATTTTCATTGAATTGCATCAAGAATTGGACTGATTACAGTCCTGATTTGCCAACTTGGTATCAGAGGCAATCTAGGGTTTCTCATGCGTGTCTAATCCAGCCGACCACATGAGAACTTCCTAGGGCTGAAAGCTTAGAAAAGATCTGTCCATCGGCTGATTCTTGGAGGTTACCAGAAGGGTTTAGCAATTGTCCAAGGGCTTGGAGAATGTTTGGATATCAGGAAGAATCAGAGAAGATCAAGAAAGATCAAGATTAGGGTTCAGACTAAGATTGAAGTGGCAATCAGATTTTTCTGGGTTAAGTTTCTATCTTTCTTTGAGATGAGCACCAGTCAGAGGTAGATTGGACCTATCTAGAAGGAGCGGCTGAACTTTCCTTTATTTTCTCAGAGTTTTCTCTAGGGTTTTCTCTTAACCCTACGATCAGACCTGACTATTAACACCTTTTGGGTGATTCCTAAATCAGTTTCAGCATTTCAGATTGTTTTCTAAGTGATTTCTAGACTTGTTTCAGCTTCCAAATCTGTTATTCTTGGGTGAGAACTTTTTTGGGGGGATCCCTTTGCTGAGAACTGGTTTCTCCTAATAAACCTATTACAGAAATGGCAGGAGCTGAGTTTAAGACTCAAGGGGATGGTGTTTTGGGAGCTGGAAACATGGGAGAAAACAATTTTCAGATTACTACTGTTAAATTTGATGGTTCTAATTACTTGGAATGGGCTCAGTCATCCATGATGGCGATTGGGGGCAGAGGGAAGTTAGTTATGTGAATGGAGATGTAAAGAAACCAGCCAAAAAAGACCCTTCATATGCCAAATGGGTTCAAGAGAACTATTTAGTCACGACTTGGCTGTGTAACTCTATGCAGCCTCATATTAGCTGCAATTATTTGTGGGCAAAAATAGCTAAGGAAATTTGGGAAGTGATGAAGGAAACCTACTCTCAGCCACTCAATGTTGCTAGGGCCTATGAACTGAAATGTGAAGTAAATAATCTCAAACAAGGGGAGAAGCCAGTTTCGGTTTATTTCTCCACTCTGAAATCTTTATGCCATGAAATTGATCATCTGGAAACTATTGAGTGGGAAAGTTAGAAGGATGCAAAAAACTATTGAAAACAGGTTGAGACCAATAGGGTTTTTGAATTCCTAGCTGGTCTGAATTCAGAGTATGATACTGTGTGACAACAACTGCTCACGAGGGAGAGTGTGACCTTATCTCAGGCCTATTCTCTAGTGCATAGTGAGGAAAGTAGAAGAAAGGTTATGTTGCAGTTTCAGCCTATGGAATCAGCCCTGACAGCCGTAAAACCAAAATTTGGGGGTGACAAGGAAAGGGACATAAAGAAGGAGGATAAGAAGGATCTAGTTTGTGACCACTGTAAGAAGCCAAAGCACACCAAGGACACTTGTTGGAAGTTATATCCACACTTAATGCTAGCAAAGCTTAGAAATAAAAAAGAGGAATGCCAATATGGCTATTACTACTGATGGTGCATCCTCTTCCAGCACAAGGGCCACATCCCTAGACACTTTAGCTATTGTCCGAGCTGCTCTAACTTAGTTAGAGCGTGAAGTTAGTACTTCAGCCCCTTCATCTCAGCCACTGATCACATCTGCTACTCCTACTTCGACATTTTCTCATTTAGGTACACGGGCATTAGCATACCATGTTTCAGGCCCAGGTAACAATGGACCTTGTTGGGTCATAGATTCAAGTGCATCTAACCACATGACAGGCTTATATTCTCTGTTTACTACTTATTGCTTATCCTCTGGTAGAGATAGAGTATCCATTGTTGATGGATCCCTTGTTCCCATCTCTGGGAAGGGAAACATTAGATTATCGGGTGCCATCTCCTTGTCCTCAGTTTTGCATGTTCCTAAACTTAGTACTAATCTGTTGTCAGTTAGTAGCATCATTAAAAATCAAAACTGTTCAGTGACATTTTTCCCTGACCGATGTGTTTTTCAGAATCTAGAGATAAGGAAGGTGATTGGGATTGGCCGTGAGACGAATGAAATCTACCTGATTGGAGGGTGTCTGCATGGGGAAGATAAAGAAGTTGGAAGGTCTTTTGTTTCTCAGTCTGTGAGTCAGATTATGCTTTGGCATAATCGGTTGGGTCATCTGTCTTTTAAGTCTTTAAGGAGTTTGTTTCCCAGTTTGTTTGAGTTAATGCAGATGTCTAGTTTAAAATGTGAAAGTTGTGAACATGCAAAGCATTGTAGAACAATTTATTCTTTGAGCAATAAAAGAAGTACTATTCCTTTTGAAATTGTGTATACTAATGTTTGGGGACCATATCATATCACTGCTATGGGGGGATACCGATATTTTCTGTTGTTTGTTGATGACTATACTCGTTTTTCATGGGTTTATCTTATGCACTCTCGAGATGAGGTCCCTACTCTGACTCAGAACTTCTATCAAATGGTCCTGACCCAGTTCGGAGTCAAAATCACAGTTTTCAGATCAGATAATGCCAAAAGAGTATTTTGCAAAACCCTTGGCCTCATATTTCCTTGACCATGGGGTCATTCATCATAGCACTTGTACCCATACACCTCAGCAAAATAGAGTTGCTAAAAGGAAAAATAGGCATATATTGGAGGTAGCTAGAAGCATTATGCTAAACTCCAATGTTCCTATACGTTTCTGGGGGATGCTATCCATACAGCCGTGTACCTCATCAATCGGGTTCCTTCACGGGTCCTAGACATGAAAATTCCATTCAGCCTCTTATATCCCGATAAGGGCTTGTTCACTATTCCCCTTAAAACCTTTGGATGTACTTGTTTCATTCAGATTCTTGGGCCTCATCGTTCTAAGTTTGACACTAAAGCTTCCAAATGCATATTTCTTGGGTATGCACAAAATCAAAAGGGATATTGCTGCTATGAACCTACTTCTGGGAAACAATTTGTTTCTATGGATGTGACTTTCTTTGAGGATGTTCCCTACTATCATAGAGTTTCTTCTCAGGGGGAGTGTAATGAGGAGGGTTGTCACAAGTTTAGGGAGTTGAGGGTGTTTCATAGGTGGTGGAAATAGGTTGATTTCTGTCCTCAGTAGTCCAGACCAACTCCAATTTCATCTGCGGCTCCAGGTCCAGGTACCACAGCTCCCTCACATCCTACTACAAATGAGATACCTCCCATCACTGAGCCTAATGAGGTGCCTCCCATTACTGAGCATTCACCTCCTTTGGATGATCTTGATCTTCCAATTGCTGTCCGCAAAGGGAAACACCGTTGTACTTCATCTGCAGCACATTGTATTTCTCAGTTTCTAACTTATGACCATTTGTCTCCATCTTATAAGTCCTTTTTGGCATCTATCTCTGCTATTCCCATTCCTAGGACAGTGCAAGAAGCCTTGTCAATACTGGAGTGGAAGGATGCCACAAAAGTAGAAATGGATTCCCTTCTCAAAAACAATACATGGGAATTAGTTGATCGACCAAAAGGGAAGAAATTGATCGGGTGTAGATAGGTGTTTACAGTGAAACATAATGTTGATGGCTCTATTGAGAGGTATAAGGTCAGATTAGTTGCAAAGGGGTTTACACAGACTTATGGCATAAACTACTTGGAGACTTTTGCACCGGTAGCCAAGATGAACAATATCAGAGTTTTATTGTCTATTGCAGCAAATTTCTCATGGCCATTGTTCCAAATGGATGTTAAAAATGCCTTCCTCAATGGTGATCTGCAAGAGGAGGTATACATGGAGTTACCTCTTGGATTTTACAATATAGAAGCAGGGAAGAAGGTCTATCAATTGAATAAAGCCTT